ATTCTACATTTTGTCTATAAGTCCTCATTATGGAATATATAAATGTATTCCCTCATATGCAAATATTTCACATCCATATTAAAAGTGTGTTCAAAATACAGATAGTTGGGAGAGGTTTTCACTTTCGGTGCAGCACTGAGGAGGGAGGAAAGCAGAATGGCTTTCTTGGGAGGGAGTCACAGGGAAATTTAAAGATGAAAAGGATGCCCCAGAGCAGTGGTTCTCAACCTTCCTAATGCCGCGACCCTTTACTACAGTTCCTCATGTTGTGGTGACCCCCAACCATAAAATTATTTTTGTTGCTACTTCATAACTATAATTTTGCTACTGTTATTAATCGTAATATAAATATCTGATATGCAGGATGTATTTAGGCTACCCCTGTGAAAGGGTCGTTTGACCCCCAAAGGGGTCGCGACCCACAGGTTGAGAACCGCTGCCCTAGAGCATGTCTGTGTATCTTGTGTAGATACTGGGTGACAGGAGTCCTCAGGTCCCTTTAAGCTCACTTGTTTCCTGATTCCATAAGGCTTTCATGAAGTTCTCTCCTTTTCAAGCACCCTCTTCAGAGCAGCTTTGACATCACTGTTCCTCAGACTGTAGATCAGGGGATTAAGCATGGGATTGAAAAGGCTGTGAAAGAGGAGGAGATATTTCTTCTGCTCCGTGGGGTCCCCATGTGGGGGCCCCACATACATGATAATGGCTGTGCCATAAAAGAGTCCAACCACACACAGGTGGGAAGAGCAGGTAGAGAAGGCTTTCCGGCGCCCCTCCCCTGACTGGATCTTCAGGATGGCGCGTAGAATCTGAATGTAGGATATCACAATGGAGGAGAATGGTCCCACCAGCACAGATGCTGCCAGACATATCAACAATGGCCAGGTGTGAGACGAAGGAGTACATGGGGGTGTGCAGTCGGGAGTCTAGCCAGATGAGGCCCAGGATGACCCCATTGCCCAGCAGGGTGAAGGCATAGAACAGGGAGAAGAGCCCAAAGAGGAGCATCTGAGTCCTTGGGCTGAGGGGAAATCCCAGCAGGAGGAACTCTGTGACCAAAGTCTGGTTTTCCCCCATTTTCCTGGGAAAGAGACAAGGGCACTCACATCTGAATGCCAGGGGTAGAGGGATGGGAGGGTAATGACCAACCTGGTGGATCTGTGTCATTGTTTCTTTCCTCAGAAAACATTTTGCATGATATGTTTGTCCTGTTAGTCACTTACTACATGAATACTATGCCTTACAAATAACACAGAAGAAAATTGTTTTTCACTGTGATAAACTAAATGCTAGTATTCTCTTATAGTGTTCAGTTAATCTTACCTGTATTTTCAAACTTTCACAACTGTTCACAATATGATAACACTGCAACTGCCTTCATAGCCGTGGATACTCCTGGTTGGTGTGATTGCATCAGAGGTTTGCCCGTGTGTGATCCCGCACCGCAGTGCACACAGAGCCACATGTGAGAATCTGGGCTATGATCTTGTATCCATATCTGCACATGAGGATGGGAAGATAAACCAGGAGCAAGTCAGAGACCCTCTTATCAATGACCTCACAAATCTATGCCTTCATTATGTGAATTTCTTGTTAGCCTTGTAATTTTTACTGACAGAATAATCTCGAATTGAGAGAATGGTAGGCAGCCTGCCACACCTTGAGCTGGATTTAAAAGAGAGAACTTTGTCTTTTGACTTTTGTACCCACAGATGGTCTACTCTGATTGTGCTGTTTTATGATCGGATATTACCCATCCTCTTATCCTCTATATGAATATTTATATTCTATACCTGCATGTGTGTGCATGATGTATATGTAAGATATAGAGTTATATATGTACACATGCACTTGAATCCTTATTATGTGCAAGTGTGCAAGGTACTTGGTATTTTCTATATTATCTTTTACTAAATCACCAGTAGAAATGCTGGTTGAATATCTTAATGGGTCATAGCCCAAGATTTTAAAAACCCAAGTCTAAAGCTCTAACTATATACTCATATTCATAGAACCTTCAACATGATTTATAGCTTAACTCTAATATAAAGATATTTATCATGAACCTTTACCTTTTTGTAGTTTATCAATTTTTTAAAGTATTTCAACCACAGAGTGGGTATTCTAAGGTTTGATTTGTAATTATTAAACCATTGCTTTTGTTTTCTTGTCTGTCTGACTCTATATCTTCCTTCAATCCAAAATCTATCTGAATTTCACTAAAACAAAAATCCCAGGAAAATTCATAATTGAGTTCCTATCTATCAGTTCCCCATTCAAATTTTCTGATTGACAGGCCAGCAGAGAACATTTGGCTCAAGCTGACTAGAAAGTCCTAAATGAGAAAGTGGTCCAGCCTCATTTCGTGGAACAGCCAACAGCCACCCTATCCAGCACAACAGGAGGCAGCTGCTCTGGAGCATGAGACAGCAGGCCAACAGTAACAACAGCCCACCGCCTCCATGGCCAGCACTGATCAGTCTGAAGGATAATGAACTCCATCTAATCTGACTAGAGCACTTACATTCCCCAGCCTCTGCCCCTTGTGGTTTTTGCACATAAAATTCAACCCCAAGGAGAAACGCCAATCAGAAAGGATATATGCACCCCTATGTTCATAGCAGCACAATTCACCATAGCTAAGATCTGGAAACAGCCTAAGTGCCCATCAGCAGATGAGTGGATTAAAAAACTGTGGTACATCTACACAATGGAATACTACGCTGTGGTAAAAAAAAAAAAATTCTTACCATTTGCAATAGTATGGATGGATCTGGAGAGCATTATGTTAAGTGAAATAAGCCAGTTACAGAGAGACAAATATCACACGCTCTCACTCATTTATGGAATATAATGAACAGA